CACCACCTGGACACCCAGCGGTACGACGACATAAGGCTAAACATGTCATCGCTGGTCAGGTTGGGGAGGGGGCCGGAGAAAACTACGGAGTCCAACATGGTTTTAGCAAAGTCACACACCGAAGCAACATTAATTTTAGTGACCTCCAATTGGCGTAACCGGGTGTCATTACCGCCGACGTGAATAACAATCTTACTGTATTTAGCCTTAGCCTTAGTCAGCAGTTTCAAATAAGATTCTATGTCACCCGCTCTGGCCCCTGGAATGCATTTGACTATGGCCGCTGGAGTCCCTAAAGCCACGTTTCGGACTATGGAGCTTCCAATAACCAGGGTCTGTTTCTCAGCGGGTGTGTCACTGAGTGAGGAAAATCGATTAGAAACGTGAACGGGTCAGTGGTGAACTGGGGGCTTAGCCTTAGCGCTACGCTTGCTCCGGACTGTCACCCAGCCGGCCTGGGGTCCCGGCTGCTCGTGGTCTGCTGGAGGACCGCTAACGGGAGCTAGCCTCTGTGGTTCCACGCTGTCTAAGGGGACCTGGCTAGCTACTGGTTTTTCTAAAGTGTGGAACCGAGCTTCCAGTTCAGACAGCCTCTCCTCCAAAGCTATCATAACATAATATTTGTTACATGTATCATTACCACTAAAGGAGGCAGAGGAGTAACTAAACATCTGACACATGGAGCAAGAGAAAACAAAGGAAGCAGAGAGAGAAGCAGCAGCCATGCTAAGCTAATGCTAGCAGGAGCTAGCAGAGCCAAATACACCAATAAAAACTGAGAAGTGTTGAAAGATAAGAGGTGTTTTAAGCACTATCCAACAGTAGAAAACAACTGTACTGTGTTTGTGAACTAGAATGAAAAACTGTGCAAAAGACAGATAAATCCAGAAAACAGAGACGACTCGAGCAAACAATTCACTCGAGCTACCGACAGACAAACAGGAAATGACACAATACGTCTCACCACGAATGTGCAAAGTCCATGGTGTTCTGTATGTGATGTTCTGAGCTGCCAACTAAAGGGATGAGTACAGACGCCAGATATTTGGAAACATTGTAAGTGACAGAGATAATCATGCTAACAAAAGGTCTTAAAGGTACACATTGTTTGTGGATTTTAGGTAAACCATACAGACTAGGTGTGGCCTCCCCTGGGTACAGTATGTGATATAGAAAATGGCCAATAGCTTTGTCCTGTTCCAAAATTTTTAGGTAATCTATCAACTTCTTCTTGTAACCACTTCCTGGATCTCTTTTCAGAGGTTCATAAGTGGTTAAGTCACTAAGGAGTGTCATAAATTTCTCATGAATTTTTTTTTTCTTTTCTTCCTACTCTACGGTGAAACCAGACGTGTCCCCCCCCCACCACCACCACCACTTCCCTGTTGCACTCTTTTGTCCTGTGAACCCTTAAAAAGCCTCTTTTTTTCATGCATACCTCTTAATTGGAAGGATCAGCTAGTCTCTCAACAAAATCGATCAACTTCTCCCGACAGGCGTCAGAGTAAGGAGGACCCCTCTGACCTCTTTAAGGAACAAATTGGATTCAAGATGACAACTAGATTCTACTGTTTGGGTTGGTGGAATCTGGTTGTCTACAAATTCGTGTGGAGGTGTTGAAGCTTGACAATGCTCGGACTGAATGTGGAGCTGTGAAAGGGAAATGGAGCAGCTGTTTTCAGGACTGTGATCTCCCTGGCAGCACTCACGAATGGTGGAATAATCTGGAGAAGCTGTGAGCTTGACTTTTGGAGTAAAGGATCAATTCAGCTGTTGTGGAGTTTCCATCAGAGAATATGTACCAGCGAGACTTTAAAGGCAGAAACAACAATTACGAGTTCTGCCTGACCCAAACTGTGGCCTTGATGCCGGACTTATCTCAACTCCTCCTGGAATGTTTTGAAAACAACAAAGATGCTTTGACTATCCTGATGCATGCTCAATAATCCAGGTAGAAAAATCCAAAAAAGTTCAATCTGGTCCTCTGGACATTCAAAAAAAAAAAAAAAAAAAGGCAAAAAAATCTAGAAACGTTTCGTCTATCATCCAAGAGACTTCCTCAGTCTGAGGTGCTGTTTTCAGCTCAGTCTCTTAAATAGCACCCTCTCAGAGTGGATCAACCAGTTTGCTGCTGACAACCAAAACCAGCTGATCACATGCTCAAGAAGGACCATCAGCCTAACAATGGGTCATTAGCACACTGATGGCTGTTTACTACTCACAGAGGGCTAAGTGATACTAGCAATCACAGCATTGTAAGAGGGGGACAATTGAACCCGGAGGCCTCCACCCTTGTTTAATGATGGACGATTTCTTTTCACAAAGATGGCCTCCTTTACTCCTCTCTCAAACTATCGTTCCTCTCTGTCCAGGATGTGAACATCTTCATCCTTGAAAGAGTGACCGCTGGCCTGGAGATGAGTGTAGACCGCAGAATCCTGGCCTGATGATGTTGATCTTCTGTGCTGGGCCATCCTTTTGGCCAGTGGCTGTTTAGTTTCCCCGATGTAAGACTGATCACAGCCTTCCTGACACTGAACAGCATACACAACATTACTCTGTTTGTGCCGAGGGAATGGATCTTTGGGATGAACCAGTCTTTGCCGTAATGTATTTTGGGGTTTAAAAGCCACTGGGACGTTATGTTTAGAAAATAAACGTCTCGGTTTCTCTGATACCCCTTCAACATACGGACTGACCACTGGTCTGGGTCTGGGTTCCTCCTTTTCACCTGATGGCTGACTGGAGTCCTGTTTGGGTTTCTTCTCTGCTTTCAGGAAGGCCCAGTTAGGATATCCACATTGCTCTAGAGCCTGTTTTGTGTAGGATTTCTCCTTCTGCCTGGCTCCCGAGCTAGTGGGGATGCTGTCTGCTCTGTGATACAGAGTCCTGATGACTCCTAACTTGTGCTCCAAAGGGTGATGGGAGTCAAACTGCAAATACTGGTCTGTGTGGGTGGGTTTGCGGTACACCTCGGTTTGCAAATGTCCTCTATCAGAGACTGAGACCTTACAGTCCAAGAAAGCCAACCTGCCATTTTTTACATCTTCTCGTGTGAACTTGATGTATTTATCCACAGAGTTGATGTGGTCAGTAAAATGTTGGACTTCCTGAGATTTAATTTTAACCCAGGTGTCGTCAACATACCTGAACCAATGACTTGGTGGTGTCCCTGAAAAGGACGTCAAGGCTCTCTT